CTGATGCGATCCTTTATTCCTACTCATTTGAATATATTTTATAGCAGGTTTTAGCTTGCAGAAATGCGCTCATTGCGAATATCATTGACATTTATTCATGAGGAATGATTCGCAACTAAGTGGGGTCTAGGGGGTGCTGAGTTCAGGAAAATTCCATATCCATGTTCATAATATCTAATATGGTTTCATTATGTAGATTTGAATCATTTGTGTTTGACTCACTTCTGTCAGCACAGTTGAGTCGGCATAAAACATCCATATTTCCAGCTGTAACATGGCTATTGTGCTTCTGCAATTTTACTAAAAGCATTGCAAATTTTTTAAGATTTAATAATTCCAAATATCTTTTTCATACCATACACTCTTAAAAATAAAGTTTTTTTGCTAGCATTGATGTTCCATGAGGAATCCTTAAAGGGGTCCTATTATGCTCTTTTACAAAGTCTTGATTTTGTTTTGGGGGTGTACTAGAACAGGCTCTCATACTAGGTTGTTCGAAAAACATTCACATTGTATGTGAAATTCACAAATATGTGAAATGTTTTAAGAGTGTATGGTTCTAATTCTCTTTTAATGTTCTCACAGCACTTAATTTTAAGGTTAACGTTACTTGTTTCTACTGGATAGATGTGTTTATGCAGGTAAATGATGTGTGAGGAGGAGTATGATGCAATATTAAAATGGGTGGAGTCTTACATCAGGGGCGTGGTTTAGCCTGTTAGTGAAATTGCTACCTCATGTTTTCATGTCTGAAGAACACACAGAGGGAAAATGGCAAAAAAAAGGCACAGGGTGTCAAAAAAAAAGCACAATTAAGACAAAATCCTTGCAAAAGATGTGAATTAAATTACAGCTAATGTAAATACAGTGGTTTGCAAAAAAATTGATAAAATAGTCAAATTACGATTTAAATTAACCCCTTTTTGCTTATAGTGAACTCTTTAGTGACTGCATTCAGAACATGGATAGACTGATTGTAATTTTAAAGCATTGTATAAAAAGTAAAAAAAAAAAAAAAGTTGTCTATATTGCATTGATATCTATTGACATATTTCATGATCAGGCCCTAGAATTTTGACTAGCTAGCATTATTTTAAACTCCCATTGCTTCACTCCAGAAATTGTTTTATTGATTATGGTTTGTTCTTATGTCATATGATTAAATGTGCCGTTATTGGGCCTTATGAAGCAATATAAGTGTGAAAGCATTGGGCCTCATTTATGAAGCATAAGCAAAACAGATTTAGTTGCATATATTGTTCATAAAACCATTCACTCTCAGAAAAAAAGTTACAAAATCTGTCACTGGGGCACTTCTTTTTCACAAGGTACTAATATGTAACATTAAAGGTGCTGTATGCACGTTTTTGACTCTACTAAAGCATAAAAATACCATAATATGTTTGCAGATATTTAAGAAACATGCTAAGTTAACATACTTGTTTATCTGAAAAACAGTGCTACAGTCAGTTATTCTCCTTTAAAAATGTGCGTTCCGGGCCGGAATGTCGGTCTCTGTTTTGGTTTGTGGAACCTGCCCACTGCCAGTTTACCCAATTGTATTTCGGGACTCCGGGTTTCCAGTTGGCGGAAAACACAGCGTATTTCATTTCATTCATCGTCAAGTGCGCTTGTTCCTGTTGGTGTCGTCAATCTGGCAACCTGCGTGTGCATCAAGTCTGAGGAGGAGGGGCCGGGTGAAAAAAACCCTCTCCAATATTTTGAACTTGGACTGCAATACCTAGTTCAACCACTCGGTGTCAATCCTACATACAGCACCTTTAAGGTACCAATATGCACCTTTAGGGGTGCAAAGGTGTACCTTTTGAAAAGGTACTGCCCCAGTGGTAGCTTTTTTTTCTGAGAGCATTCTTATATTCAAAGTTCATACTCAATTCACTGCAACATTTTATGTATGAATGGTCTTATGATTGATTTGCTCAAATTTGCTCATGTTTCATGAATGAGGCTGAATGCACACACACACACACACACACACACACACACACACACACACACACACACACACACAGGGTC